AAAAAAAAAAAAAAAAAAAAAAAAAAAAAAAAGCTTCATAAAGGTAGTTAATGTAGCGATTTTGTCTAGAATTGGGCCTGTGATGCATATCTTTAAAATTTAGATTCTTAACATAATAAAAGCTTTATAATGTCCATAGGAAAATATGATTTGATCAGAGATCTCCACATTTTAATTCAGGTAACATCTTTCTTCCACATTTTAATGAAAACAAAGGTTTTCATAAGGTATGTTTCAGTTGTTCATCACATTTAACTGAATAAGATAAATAGCAGAAGCTTAAATGGCAAATACATCTACATTTTCTCTTTCTCCTCCAGCCACTGTGTTGTGCTGCTAGAAAAGTGCTAATAATTTCTCCAGGTGACAGTGGAGAGATGATTCACAGTTTTAATAACACCAGTCAGCATGGCACTCAGCTTTTGTCTTTAGCCTTGTTTGTTATTTCAGCACTGAAAATTAAATTCAAGTATTATAGAGAAATGATTACAACGAAATCCGTTGTCGGAGTGAGTGAGTAGTCTTTAGTATTATGTGAACATACAGTAGTGTAACCTTCGTACACTGGTCTTCTGTATGGTATTTCCAAAGCGAAAGAGGAGCAGCGCGCTCTCTTGCCTTCCATTGCTCCCTCTTAGACTTTTACGTAAGCATTCCCTTCATTTGACTGGACCACTTCATTTCTGTGGCACCATCTGGGTTAAAATACCTGTGTTACTTAGGGTAAGCATTGACTGGTCATGTAGGAAAAATGGTCCTTTGAGGCTTTTCAGAGAGAACCTAACCAGGCAAACTGATGTTTTCAGCAAGATGGATCATCAATGTGTCAGAATAAGTCAGAAATTGGGAAGTGGAATTATAGCGATCAGAGGATTGAGCCATCTGTTTTTCAAACTGGTGATATGGCCTTATAAATATCTTTTATTATCATGTGAATTACTTTATGAGCAAAGTAGAATCTTAGATTTAGTACTTAGATGATTGAATTCAGAAATACATATACCACTGAAGACTTTGAAAACTGGAAAAACCCATCAGAAACTGATTTTCTATGTATTGTTTTCTGGCAGGTAACAAATCACAAGACAGTGGCATAGCAGAGATGGAAGAACTCCCTGTCCCACATAACATCAAAATAAGTAACATCACATGTGACTCCTTCAAGATCTCATGGGAGATGGACTCGAAGTCAAAGGACCGCATTACACACTACTTCATTGACCTCAACAAGAAAGAGAACAAGAACTCTAATAAATTTAAACACAAGGTAAAAACAATGAACACTTACAGTTATTACAACATTTTAAAAGAAAATAATTTCAATGACTTACATATTTGACATTGAGAAGAACCAAAATTATGTGATTTAAAACATTATCCCCAGCCAGGCGTTGGTGGCGCACGCCTTTAATCCCAGCACTCGGGAGGCAGAGGCAGGCGGATCTCTGTGAGTTCGAGGCCAGCCTGGGCTACCAAGTGAGATCCAGGAAAGGCGCAAAGCTACACAAGAGAAACTCTGTCTCGGAAAACCAAAAAAAAAAAAAAAAAAAAAAAAAATTATCCCCATAATAAAATTTTGAAAATAATGGAATGCCATGCAAGAGGGTAAATCATGACTATATGCAAAGATAAAAATCAATAGTAAACTTTAACTCATTAAAGGAAATTGATTCTGTGCTGTAGGGATAGTTCAAGATATAACCCACTTATAAGTCAGTTATATTAAAATCTATGCAAATAAAGTCAAAACTGGCTTGAAGGGGGCAGTGGAGCTTGGAGGGGACAGGAAGGCTTCCCTCTCCTCAGAATTCAGTTACTTTATGTAGACAAGAATAACTAAATTGTTTACCAAGCTGTAAAATTCCTTCTGTTGAAGCAGAAGAGTGTGCCATAGGCTTGGTATAGTTTTCCATTGAAGTATACATCCTTCCCCGAGTCAAACTAATTAGCTTCTAAAATTGTGGGCATTTGTTTAAATACTTTAGGCCTAAAAAAATGCCCCAAAGAGTCAATTTTGGGGTGGGAGGGTGATCAGTTTATTTTGCTTAATAATGAAGCTTACTAACCTTCACATGCTGTAATATGTAACATTTACCTGCTGTCTCTGCTCTCACTCACCCTTTGTGACACAGCTCTTCCTCCAGATGTGACTGTTAGGGATAACAATTACCTGGCTCAAGTGTTTCTCTTATGCTTCATTGCTTTTACTGATGATGAAAACAGACATTAACCTGGTCTTTGAAAAAGATGGGGAAATTCAATGCATCATTTTATTTTTCTGGAAATGTCTTTTACAATGTCACAAACTAAATATAAGTGAGGGCTTTACATACTGTAGAAAGAACATACTAATCAACAGTCATTATTATCAAATTCCATTTCTGATTATGGGTGTTCCCTTTGCTGGCATTTGCCTTCTTGAAGAGTCTTTGATATGGTTAAACATTAAATGATGAATACTTCAAGGCTTGACCTCTACTTCATCCATGAATACCATAACTTTGGAAATGTAATGAGTGTTCAACCAGAAGGTTAACTTATCGATTGCTACTTGAAAAGACCTAAACATTTTCAAACACATGGCACCATACTTTTCTGAAGGTTACCTAATCTGTATGTCAAACAAGTTCGTCTGTTTTAGTATTTACTTTAAAAGCATTCTCCCCTTTACATATAAAATATTTAGTAATAAACCTCTCTAGTAAAATTATCAAGTCATAAAAATAAAGCAAATATATTTTTAACTTAGACTTTAAATCAATTAATTTTGGTTCTTTTATGTCTTTTTAAAAATCTGTTTTGAAGAAGATAGCATGTACAGGGGAAAACAATATGTTATAAATAATGACAACTAGAATACAAGTCCTTTTCAGTTTTTGGACTGTAGGATGTTAAACCTGTCTCTTGTTCATCCTGGGCCTTAATTTCCATGTATGGAAAATAAACAGTTTAAACATGGTAATTGTTGGGTGTTCTTAAACAGGAGCCCTGCTCTTAGGCAGGAGTTTAGGTTCCTGTCTATTGTTTATAGTTGATGAAAGTTATCTTGAATAGCCTTCCTGACTCCCCACCTCTCCCTTCCCTACTTTGTCCTTCCCTTTATTCTTTACTGCCTCATCTTCCTTTTTTTCCTTCCTAGGATGTTCCAACAAAATTGGTGGCAAAAGCTGTTCCCTTGCCAATGACTGTTCGTGGACACTGGTTTTTGAGCCCAAGGACTGAGTATACAGTAGCAGTGCAGACGGCCTCAAAACAAGTTGATGGTGATTATGTGGTATCTGAATGGAGTGAAATTATAGAGTTCTGTACAGCAGGTAAGGGAGCAGTGGTTTATATTGATTAATGTTCTTAGGAAGCTCATCATCAACTTTCTGTACCTACAAGGCGAGTAAGCATTTCATTGGAGGTGTGGTACTCTGATTGTAAATAGCTCGCTTTGCATGCATGTGGACCTGACTTGAATCCCAGAACCCATTTTAAAAAGCCAGGAATTACAGGCACATGCTTGTAATCCCAGCTCTGGAATGGCAAAGACAGGCAGATCTCTGGGACTCTGTAGACAAGCAGCCTAGCTTCTTGGAAAGCATTAGGTCAGTGAAAGACCCTATCTCAAAAAATAAGGTGGATGGCACTTGACACTCGACATGACCCCTGGCCTCCATACTGTGCACATATGTGCACTTAGATACAGGGGGACAAAAGTTAGAGAGAGGCTGTTTAACATGAAAGAGCCGGTAGAAAAAATTCTAGAAAACAATCCGCTCATCTGTTTCCAGGTTGCTTAGCAACTCCCCCATCTGTGGCAATCTTCAGATAAGACCCAATCCCCTCTTACCATTCTGCATTCTTTTAGATGCAGCTCATGGTTATCTACTACTCATCCTGGTACCTGTGAAACTCTAAGGGCATGTTAAGTGGCTGAAATTCACTTATGCTTTGATTTTATCTTCATGCCTCTTTGTTTATTCTATGATGAAACTGCTAAGAATGTTAACACTCTTGAATGCTAAAGATTTCAGTATTTGAGAACAAGGTAAAAAGTTTCTTGCAAGTGCCATTTTTTTTTATATTTCTCTATATCTCATGAATTGTAAGATCCACCATTTTAATATATCATAAAGAAAAATGCCAATTGAAAGATGGCAATGTTTTCTTATTGCATTTATTGTTAGTATCAGATGTTAAAATGTAAATAAATATTTTGGATAGATTAAGTATAATTTTGGTAGTTTAGTAATCAGCAATGAAACAGCTAAAGATGCCTCTATTGTATTAACAGCAAGCAAAGGGCTCTTCTCTGGAGATAATTTTCCTGTGTTTGCTGTACCATGTTGGAATTACTATCTCTCTCTGGAGTCTACTTCACATTTAGTCCTTTTCAGGAATCCTTTTTCACTTATTTTTGTAGCACCAGGGAGGTTTAATTTAAGTCAGACAATTGGACATGTTTTCTTTTGATGGTGTGCTGTTGGTTGAGTATCCACAACCCAAAAATCTAAATTAGAATGCTCTGAAATCTGAACCTTTTAAAATATGTATATATGAGTGCTTGCAGAAATGCCTGTGCTTTGGGGTGGGGGACAGAAGGGGCATCAGGTGCCCTGTAACTGGTTGTGAGCACCGCGTGGTGCTCATATGTGGGTACTGGGGATTGAACCAGGTTCTCTGAAATAGCAGCAAGTGATCTTAACTGCCCCACCATCTCTCCAGCCCCTGAAATCGGAAACTTTTGAGCACTGATAGAGGTACCCAGAATATTTTAAACATTAGAGCAGTTTAGATTTTTGAAATAAAAAAAAAAACCTTTAAAGTATATGCAAATATTCTAACTTCCCCAAACTCGGTATCTGAAGCATTTCTGGTCTCAAGTGTTGCTGGTAGGTAAGTGGAACCCCACCTGGAATACAAGCATTTTTTCTGTGTAACTACATCAAACAATGTCCTGGTACTTTTCCACTCAAGGGAGCTATAAAATTCACCTGCTCCAACTTTATACCAAAGAAAGGTCTGAAATACTATGACTTCATTAGCTTAAAGAAGACCTTTAGTGGTTCCAGTACACGTGTACACACACACACACACACACACACACACACACACACACACACACACACACACTGATGCACAAGCTGTCATGTGAATGGTTTTTTTTTTACTTCTGGTTATAAAAGGAAGTAAAAGCATGTTTTCATAGAGTAATCTCTATTGCTTTCTCATTTTTTCCACATCTCCTAACATTTGTGGGGAGTTACAAGGTAAATCACAATTGCCAGCTTTTAACTGTTCTACAGTATTTCTCTATAACTTACTTTACTCTTCTTTAATTTCATAGTTAAGAGATAAAGAGAACTTGCTGTTCAGGTTTATCAAGTGATCCTGGACCATTTCATCTAAGTTTTATCTATGCCCTTGAGTCTGAATTTTGAGAAAGATGTTTTTAAAAAAAATTATCTTTAATACTATAGACCTAGGCACTGTGCAAGGTATTGGAAATAGAATAGATTAGACTCCCACAGGCTAGTCAGTTTCTAGTCTATAACAACCCGATACCATAAAAAATGTTCTAATTGTCTATATTTCTCTTCCTTTAGCCTTCTCTTTCTTTAGATTCAAAGAAAATCATATAGTTTTTTTATTTTTTTAGCCTCACCATCTCATTGTGCATGTACTTTATACATCACATGCCTTCAAATAAATCAATGTTAGTGGCACCAGTTTAGGTTGGGCTGTTATCTTTATATACCACATCTTTTTCCTTAACTTTTGATGCAGGAGTTTGACATTCATTCCCAATTTTAAAAACAAAAATTGATCAGAAATATCTAAGTACTTTGAGAGCTATATTGTACCTGGAGACCATTAAGTAGGATCCAGAGAGGTCTGAAAGTTGATGGCTGTGAGAATCCCTGCACTTGGGCCAGTTGTGATTTCTGAGTCAGTAAAAGGGCTGGATCTATCTTGTCAACTTCAGGTTTAGAAACAAATTGAGCAAACTAGTTCTGCTTTTCTGTTGTGCTGTCCCTTCAGAGTGGGAGGTTCCTTGACTCATTGCATTAGCTGATGGGTAAAGGTGCTGGTGAGCAGGGTGCTGGTGGGCAGGGTGCTGGTGGGCAGGGTGCTGGTGAGTGCTGCTTGCTTGGCTGTTGAATGTGGTTGCTTCAGGATCTTTAATTTGAAAGATTAAAAGTATAAGAATAGTCTAAGAAATAACCATGAACCATAACAAAATTATTTATGTAGAAATAAAAATAAGCCAAAGAAAGGCAATAAATCTTTTCTTTATAATTTCCTATTTAAAATGTTGAATTCCCTAAAGATTTAATAATCTCTGATTTATAAAGCATGTAGCTGGCACTTCTGGTACTTAATACTAGACTTTCCAATTTTTCAGATTACTCAAAAGTTCATCTAACACAGCTGCTGGAGAAGGCTGACGTGATTGCAGGACGCATGCTTAAGTTCTCTGTTTTCTACAGGAACCAGCACAAAGAGTATTTTGACTATGTTAGGTAAGAACCACTATTATTATGTGTTTGGGTATCTTCACTGCATGTATGTCTGTATACCACATTCTTGCAGAGGCTAGAGAGGGTGTTGGGTCACCTATAACCGGAGTTACAATCTAGGTTGTGAGTCATCACGTGAACTGGGAATCCAACCTGAATTCTCTGGAATTGCAGCAAGTGTTCTAATCTGCTGAGCCATCTCTCTAGCCCCGAGAGACAAAGGCTTTTAAAATGACATGTTACAATAGTTCTAAACTTGTTCACACTACCTAGATTATGTTCTGTTTTGTTCTGTTTTAAAACCTTAGCAGGGGCATGGCGGCTAACACTTACAGTACTAGCATTTGGGCAGGAGGGTCACCCTGAGTTCCAGCTCAGCTTAGACTACAGCCCAGAGACCTGTATCAAAAGAAACACAAAATAAGAACCTTAATCACTCTAGAGTTATAAAGGATTATTGACTTGAAGGACTTTATGAAAATAATAAGGAAATTTTGGTGTTTTGTTTTGTTTTTTATTTTTGCATACTTTTCTAATTTCTCTGAAATCAAAGTCATGTTTCCAAATGAGCTCCAAGCTGTGGCAAATGCAAAAGGAGTCATGGAGAAAGAAATGTGTTTGGCATGTATGTTCGAGAAGAAGTATACATTAGTCACTTTTTTCACCACTGAGGTTATGTACCTGAGGAGAAACAACCTATGAGGAGCGTTTTTGCCCTACTGCTGTCTGGGAAGACATGGTGACTAGCAGCTCAGTGCTGCTTAAAGCACCAGACAGCTTGGGATATCTAGGCTGTCCCCTCAGGGCCCATCCCAGTGACTCCTCCCATCAGCAAGGCACCACCTACTAAAGGGTCTACCACTTGTTCGTACAGCGCCACCAGCTGGAGCCCCAGTGTTCAGGCACAGGGGCCTGCAGGGCTGGTTTGTATCTGAACGAAGGCCAGCTGCTTTGTGTGCCATGTGTTTGTATGTATTTTGATGACAGGAGAACATGTCTGCTTGTGTTTGAATATCTTACAAATTCAAATTTCAGTCTGTTGTTTTCCAACTGGCCTGAAGTCTATATAATTTCTGCTGGATGCCAGTCACCTAATTTAAACTAAATGACAAATTATTGTGCTTATCAGCTGTTAATTCAGAATGGCTAGTATATTCAGCAAGAAAAGTTTTTTATTTTTAAGCATAAAATTTGAAAATCAAAGAAATTTCCATGATTGCTGCTGCCTTCAGTAAGAAACACATCAACAGAATGCTGTTAGGCCTTTGCTGTAGGTTCAGGTTCCTGGGATCCTGCCAATGACTGCTAAGTGTGGCCACTGGAGGTCAGTATTTCTCTAGGATTTTCTCATTCTTCATGGGAAGAGCCTTTCCATAACTGTAACATTTGCTTAATTTGTTCTCAGAAATGTTTCCAAAACTACAAAAAGTTCAGTCAGAGCACCTGGGTTTGGATAGAGTAATTGTACACATTACATGATTTAATTCCAACCCACCAGCATGAAAGATGTTTGTACCAACAACAAAGTTTACTTTTGTTTTAATTCCAAAAATAAGAGCAGTAAACCCCACGTAAATTATATCTTGAAGCATTACATACAAATACAGTTACTAAGGCATAGGTAGATGTAAGCATTTTTAAAAGCTAAACAAAAGAAGCCCTTTCTCAGTGGGAGGTGGAGCTCTGACAGAGTGCTTGCCTGACATGCAGTGGTCTAGGTTCAAACCCCAAGACCACAAATAACAACAACAGTACTTCAGTCCCCTGTGCAGTGAACTTTAGTAAGGGCATTTACTTCCATGGATCTTGATTTGCATTTTAATTAGTAAACCGTCATCAAGATCCATTTCCTTGATTAGGATCCCTTTAAAATGTTATCTTCAGAAGGCTTGATTGGCTATGAAGGATCTTACAATTACCTTATAGTCTTTACAAATCATTACAACTGAAGAAGTTGTAGATGAATTCTGACTCAACCCATGAGGGCTGAACTAATTTTGGCCTCTCCTTCTAAAAGTAACACTAAAATGAGCATGCCCTTACCTTGAATGACAACCTTGCCCTTGTTCGTGTTCACTAGTTAGCTTGGGTGTTCTCTACCTGATTACATTTTCAAGACTCCCCTGCCACTGGCAGACAGTGTAGGAATTCCCGTACTTTTGCTGCCAAACCATCTGTCCTCAGAGCTGCTGTTCTGTCGCTGAGAGTAGGACACATTTCAAAGCTTCAAGTTCCGCTTATGCTTCCTACCTTTGTTAGTCCATAGAACTGTCCTCGTAGGTTTATGTAGGATACATAAGTACCTGGGGTTTATGTATGAGGGTGAAACAAGGGTTAGTAATTTGGGTGAGGCAAAATGAAATATATAAAGGCCTTTCTATTTCTCCTCCCAATTATAATTTCAAACCCTGAAATTTTTGTATAAAATACAAGACTATGAAATGAAAAGTAGAAATTAGCTCAACTAAAAACCCTGACAAAAATACAGGGTAAGTTCCCTGTTGTGCTGGACTGTGTGCTAGAGAAACGGCAACCTAGAAATGCCGATGGCACAGGTCACAAGCAGAAAGCCTGGTCCCTTTACCCAAAGAACCAGGGGAAATGCTGCAAATGCTAAAACATTCAACAGTAAACCAGTGTGGGTTCAGCCAAAACCATGGTGGGTGTGTGGGAATCGCAGTCGCCGGCTACCAGCAAAGGCCAGGGGTGCCTTGTCACCCTGGTAATTAGGCTCTACCTCATCTCCTGCTAGAGTGGTACCAAGAATGCCGAGTTACTGACTCAAGGGCCTGGACTTCCTACCATGAGGACAGGGAGTGAGGCTTACAGTTCTGTTACTGAAGACAACAGGAGAGCAATGATGGTCTGTCCCAGCTAGATTGTGTGGGCTGAGTCCAGTGGGAACTTGAATTCCCACCTTAACGTGACTGGATATCTAAAGAAAAATTCAGATATCCATCCTTATCTAATAATAATAATAAAACCCTCACTAGTATATAGTCAAAGGGGCCTAACGAAATATTAGATTTAAATCAGACCCAGAGTCTCACAGTAGCCCTGATTTCCAGACAATTCACTCATATCAAGAATCAGTAAACATAGAGTCTGGATAAGAAAGGAAGACCAAAGACCAACACTAAGATAGATAACAGACCTAGGAACTGATTAGGCACTATAGAAAATACACATAGAAAACTGTTTTGATAAGCAACTGGAAACAAAAATAAAATGCACAAAGCAACATGAGACATGAAGAAGAAATGCTTTTAGAGCCGACTAAACACAGCACGTGGGGCAAAAGATCACTAGAAATAGAAAATAGCAATGGATGGGCTGAAGCAGGACAAGAAGAAAGAAATACCAATAAACTGGAAGAGCAAATAGAAACTATCCAAACTGAGAAACACATGAAAATAAAAACTGTCACAATACCATGAATATGTGGGACCACGGAACCTCAAGTTCGCATTGTCAGAGATCCAGAAAGCACAAGAGAGTGGGGCCGAGACTCTCAGAGCTGGAATTTCTCCAAATTTAGCAAACAGCATATGCCTATGAATTTTAGCTGAGAAACCCCCAAATGGTGTGAGTTCTGAAGAAATTTATGCCAAGGTACATCAGAAATCCCTGAAAACTGAATGAAAAAAATAATAATTTCAGGTAATAAGAAAGTAAGTTGGAGAAAATACAATCTTTGCTCCTGGACAGCCCACTGTCATGTGTTTTCTTGAAGCTACATTTTTAATAAGCGCCATTGGCTAGTTGTCAGGTGGTGAATTCACAGGCCTGTTGCTGTTCCTGTTCCCTGGCATCCTCTTTGTCTCACAGCCTCTGAGAAGCCTGGTGCTGGTGAAAACCTTTCTTACCAAAGTACTAGCTTGGACTTTGTACTCTTAAATATGCTGCTAGGCACCCAGCAAGCAAAAGGAGAATTGGATTCTGGAGAGAACTCAATGAGATTGCTCTTTACAAACATGTAAGCAGAGTTGAGCTACTGAGAAGACACTGAAAAATATCAAGACGCAGTTTTACTCTTCTTGAGAATAGAAGGGAATCCAGAGTCACCCAGAAGCAGTAGACAGAAGTCAGTCTCGGTGGAGGCACAGAGTCCTGACACATGAGGAAGTCAGGAAGACACCTGAGCTCACCTTCTCTGTGACCTAGATGTGCCGGTGCCTCACACTGCTAGGACTTCAGAGAGAGGGAAGTGGAAAGGAACTGGATCAGAGAGTCTCAGGCCACACAGAGGGCAAGAGGTGGACAGTGGATTCGGGGCCAAATGAGACTAGCTGGTACTTGGTCAAACAAGCTGCAAGAGGTAACCTGAGAAGCAGCCTGTGTCTGGTTGAAAATGGCCCAAACAAAAGGCACAAAGCACTTCCTCCTGGCCTAGGTGGGGAGCACCAGTTCTTACTTCTAACTACTTTTTAAATAACAACAACTCCAACTCTGTAGGCTCCAAGGCAGAAAGAGAGATAAAGCGTGAAAGTCTGTCTTTTGTGTCTCCACTCTACTCTCAATTTGAAAACGTGTTCCGGGGCTTTGGCTGTACATCATATCTAAAAGGGTTAGGTTCTCTTTTCACATTAATAAATATGTATAGTTTTACAAATTTACATTTAAAATACACACCCTAACAGTTTTCTTGAACTGCCTGTCTTCTGTACTGTGAATGTACCATCACTTGACCTGTGGGTCTTCTGTGACCAGCAGTCTATAATGAACATTCTTCTGTTATGACAATTGACATACACTGTATAATAATAACCAGGGCAGTAGAAACCCTGTCTTCAACCAGGTGTGGTGTCATACCAGCACTTGGAATGCTGAGTTGGGAAATTCTGAGTTTGAGGCCACCTGGGACATCAAAGTGAGACCTTGTCTCAAAAAGTAATCTACCTCTTCAAAAAAAAATTAATACCATTTTTTTCACTTCTGAAACTACTATAATGTAAATATTTGCTTAACCATATATATCTCCTAAATCTTATAGGCTTTTTTGTTCTATTCTTTGTTGGTTAAAAGACCTACTAGGTTCAGAAATTCTACCCTCATGTGTCTTGGTAGCTTGCCATGGTATTTATTTCATTAAGTATTTTGCACCAATGTTTCTGATTGGTTCTATTTTATGATTTTTATATCCTTGGAAAAATCCATTATGCCCTGAAATTTTTTCCTTGTATTTTTATCTGGATTCTCATGAATTTCCTTGGAATCCTCATTTTGAATTGTTTTTCAAGCATTTCATATATTATAGATTGTTTTCCTTTGGAATTGTTCTATTTCATTTTTCTTGGTCTGTGCATCTGGTGAAATGTAAAATTCGATGAAGTATCTACTGTAAGAGCCTTTGTTCATTCAATTGCATATCATTCAGATGGCATATGGAATTTGAGTTAGGCTAGCTGCTTCTGAGTTTGATCACAGAAGGGAAGTGTAGTCTCTGACTTGTCTTGCAGTCATGTCCCTGCTATTACTGGTCTGGACTGCTGTGGTTCATAAGGAGTTGGGTGACTCCACAGACAGTGTCCTCAGACTTCATAGTCTAGCACTGATGGTACTGGAACCTGTGAAGAGGTCAGTTGCAAGGTGTCTCAGAAGCACAGGAAACTCCAAGAGTTGTCATGGCAGCTGCTCTCTGCAAACCACAGAATTCAAAGGAAACCTTCCTGAGGTCTCTGAGGATGAATGTGAGAGATGCCTGGGTCCATGGCAGCAGCATCTCAGTTCTGGGGTCACCAGACAGGATAGACCTTCCTTGGTAGATTTAAACCAAGTTCTTCTTCATATTTTCAATACTTTCAGTAGTTTTCTTTAGTAAAGTCACTTATAAAACCTATTAAGTACAAATGGAGCTAGCTTCACCTGTAAGATTTCTAATTGTAGTTCAGTTTTTTAGTCCGGGAAATTTATTTTATTGTTAAAGATCTCCAAGGCTTACTGTAGATCATTTTTATCTTAGTTCCAAGGCCATGATAAGTAGTGTCAAAAGATATTTTCCCCTTGGTCTGGAGATGGCCTGGCCATCCAAGCCTTTAACAGTGGGTAGTATTCAGATCTGTAAATCAGTAAATTTACCACCATTGTACTGAGCCATGTCCGTTTCCTTTCACTTGCAGAGAACACCATGGAGATGCTATGCAGCCTTCTGTAAAGGATAACAGTGGCAGCCATGGCTCACCCATCAGTGGAAAACTAGAAGGCATCTTCTTCAGCTGCAGCACTGAGTTCAATACAGGGAAGCCACCCCAGGATTCACCTTATGGAAGATACAGGTTTGAGATTGCAGCAGAAAAACTTTTCAACCCCAATACTAACTTATACTTTGGGGACTTCTACTGTATGTACACTGCGTATCATTATGTGATTCTTGTCATTGCCCCTGTGGGATCACCAGGAGATGAATTCTGTAAGCAGCGCCTTCCTCAACTAAATTCCAAGGATAATAAGTTTTTGACCTGTACAGAAGAAGATGGGGTGCTGGTGTACCACCACGCCCAGGATGTCATTTTAGAAGTCATTTACACTGACCCTGTGGCTCTTTCTCTGGGCACCGTGGCAGAAATCACTGGTCATCAGCTCATGAGTTTGTCTACTGCAAACGCAAAGAAAGACCCCAGCTGCAAAACCTGTAACATCAGTGTCGGACGTTAACGCCACTTTCGTACTCTCCCTCCCCGTCTCCCCATAGGAGCACTGCCCTCTGTTGTCCATTTTCATCATCAGATGTTCCCACTGAAGCATGCATATGCCGCTGTCACCAAAAGCAAACTACCATTCAGAGCCTTCCCGTGTCTCCTCTTGCCCACCCTGTCCACCACTTCCAGTGATGTCCCCAAGTTGTCCTGACACTTTGTTTGCCTAGATGCTGCAATGCTTTTATGTTTCCTTTATGCCAAACATAACAAGACAGTTATATAGACCGCTTTAGCAAAGTACAAAATAATGGCTTATAAATGGTGTTTAAATATGCATCCATTTTAATCTACTGAATAAATATTGGGATAACGCCAAACCGCATGAAAGGGTGTAATTGCAGCATGAGTTAAATCTTAAAGCCTAGAATCGTCAGCACTTCCACCTTGTTGTTTGACAGTGTTATTTATGTTATTTATATTAGCTAACAGGAAACAGTTACTGTGCTTCAACATAATAAATATAATAGAAAAATATTTTATTTGTATGTTGTATAAAATATTTACAATCATATAGAATATAGTTACATTTTAATAGCAATTGTATACATCTCACGAAACCATTTCCCTTATCAAAGATGTAATTTGTAAACCTTAAATAGTTGTGTATCTGTCCTGTTACAAGTAGATGACTTCAATTAAACAAATTTATGAAGGCCATTATTCTGATTCATAAGATTTAAAACACCAGGTGAATACAGAGAAAACAATATGCCTCTAATATGGTCTGCTTCTGGAATCAGTATTTTTTTTCTGCCCAAGCAATATGAAAATCTGAGTTTCTTCAACACCATGCTTAAAAATTACAGAAAACAGAAATAGGAACAAAGTTGAAAATGAGAAAATGTCTGTTACTTGATTTTACAAAAACCAAAACCAATAAATGTGTTTTAAATGAAGAAAAAGCAAGATACACTAAATAAAGTAAATAAAAGGTGACTTGGTGATTTCCAAGCTTTTTACCCTGCGCAGATGAATGCAACTCACAAAAAAGCTGTTTCACTTTATAAAGAACAGACCTTGGAACATTAAGAAAGATGCAGATACCCAGTGGGAAAATAGTTATATCATCTTAGTGTAGGAAACAAGAAAATTAGCAATAATACTATGGTCACATTAGGTTATTATACTGCAGACACACCTATCCAAAATACCTATTTTAAATTTTTAATATTTTATTTTAATATAAACATTTGTCAGTTATAGACAAAGATAATTCACAAAGTACATGCCATCCAAATGAACTTTGGTAACCAGAAATGTAAATTTTCAGATAACAGATAAAATAATGCACTATTTTCATGTAGAAATAAGAAATTAGTGACACAGTTGAGTGTATTTTCGGGTGTTTAGAACGCCTACAGACTTACAGGACCAGGCAGTGGATGTTGTCTCCCTTAAACTACCTTCTTACCAGCTGTCTTCCTCCCTGGATGAAGAACAGAAGCTTCCCTTGTCTCACAATTAACTCAAACCTTGCTCTTTTCCATACATCAATGAAGTCAATCTTCGGGCACTGATAAACCTTCCCTAGCAGGTAGTCTGCCTATGTGTTATTTTAGGTTTAGGTTTGACAAGGTATTAGTGTTTTGGTTTTTTTTTTTTTTAAACAATTACATTTGACTATGGATTTCAGTTTGGTATGGAGTAGGCTTAATGTTTTTGCTGATCCCAATATTACCTGTTATTTCCCTATTGAAATCCCTTCTTATGTGTATAATTACACTATCTCTTCCTTTGTAAAAACAGCTAATACTATCTCTAAAGTGCTTTGTTTTCAGTACATCAAAACTACTTAGCAAGAACAGTAGAGGAAAATAAACTTGACTTTATCTTGGGTGGAAGTGATCAGAGCCAAACCTCAAATAGTTTTGGCCACATCCTGTTTGCTGATGAGGACCTCTAATAGTCTCAGTTTGGCTTTTATGTGCTTGTATTCATAGTACTCGTCTGCCATTGGCATCCTGTCTTCCTTCTGGGGACTTCTGCAGAAAAGAAGATACAATCTATTAGTAGATACATGAGCCAGGTCATTAAAGTCCTCTTATAACTGACAGGATGGTGTGTGGGGGTGGGGGTGCGTGTGTGTGCGCGCGCGCCTTCTTTACATTCCTTCAGCCTCAATCTCTGCTCCATGTCTCTAAGTAACAGTGCCCTTTGCCAACGTTTGCAAATGCGAGGTCCCATGCTCAAGCACAGAACAATGGTACAGGTGAAAAGATGTGAAGAAAAAGCACAGGCTAGAGCCTCCCTCCGAGGCATCCCTTTTCTATTCATCCTCTTACTTGCCAGAGTTCCATGCCTGTACAGAATGCTCAGCCCTTACAGAGAAACTTAAAAAATAGCATCCTGAAAATGCTGCAGATGTTTGATTACAGAAGTAATCCATAAACCTACAGTGACAAAAACTCTCCAGGGGCTGTCTTATAAGCTTGGAAAGCTTTCAAGTTTCCTTGTAGTTAAACCTGTTTCTACTGATGTGGGGTAGAACTTCTGAGTTTCTCCTCGACAGAAGTAATCTGTGAGTCTAAATAGTCTAAATTGGGGCCAGTGGAACGGACCAGTGGGTAGAGGTGCCTGCTGCCAAACCTGATGACCCGAGTTCGATCCTTAGGCCCCACGTGGTGGGAGGAGAGAGCCAACCCCAAGTTGTCCTCTGGCCTCCATACATATGAAGACATACACAGTTTAAATTGCAATAGTTCTCTTTCTGCACACTAATTCAAAGAGTGGGCATGTACCAATGCATAGACTTTGGGACATGCACAGTCTACTGTGTGCCCTTGTTCCGCTACCATGAATGATTACAGTGCTCCTAAATGTATCCAGAATCCATTCACATGGTCATTTTTACTTTTATAGATGGCTAAGTCTTAGCAGTAACAGTCTTAAGGAGAAAAGATTAAAGTCTATTTCTTTGCCATTCAACTGTTTGAGTTTAGCTTTAATAAATGAGCATTTTCTTATTAGATAATGTATCACCACAAGAGGGCAGATTACTTCACAGAGCAAGCGAGCATGGCCATATCTAAAGTAAGTTAGGGATTGTAAGTGCAGTAAAACAAACTGTTCCTTGAGTGCAGTAAGTCATGAATAAAGTGCAGTCATGTTCTTCTGCATACTCATTCTTAAATATACTGATGCATAGATTTTTATATACACATAATCAATGACTATTACCAAGAACAGACAGAACAATTAAGCAAGCACCATGTTGCCAAAAGGCATGCCAAATATGACTGATAAGATCCTACAGGCAGGATTGCCAGCACACTGGAACCTCTCATGCTCTAATATAGACTTCTGTGTTCAAACGGGTAAACATGTAATTTCTTCAAGGAACTCAAAGTATGTTCAATGAAAAGACTGTATATGTGCCTGAAACCTAAGTAACTTATTTTTTATGCAATGACTATTGAGATTTGAAATCCTGAAACCAACTCCAATATTCACTGGGTGAAAAATTCCAACTGAATAACTTTTTATTCTTTTTAAGACAGGGTTTCTCTGTGTAGCTTTGGTGCCTGTCCTGGATCTCACTCTGTAGACCAGGCTGAACTCAAACTCACAGAGATCCGCCTGGCTCTCTGCCTCCCAGAGTGCTGGGATTAAAGGTGCGCGTTTCCCCCCCGCCCCCCCCCCCCCCCCCCGCCCAAACTGAATACTTTTTAAGAGCAACTTTAATGTAAATCAGGTATGTACTCAAAGCACCTAGTCAGTCAATTCTTTGCTGAGCTACAAGTTTCTGACCTAGTAAGCCCATTAGGATAGCCCTGGAAAACAGAAAAGCTGTCACGGACGATGACTCGAGCAGGCTAAGCTTGAATGTCTCAAAGTGCTTTAGCACAGTACCACTCCCTTACAGCAGCCTGTGGGCTGAGAGGAAATGGCAGCAAGGCACGAAAGAAAGGCAGTTGGGAGAGCATGCCCAAGCCAGTGTGTTAGCAGGAAGAGCCTCCCAGTTCATCTCCGCCACTTGGAAGCACTGTGACTTTGGGAAAATTATATGCCTGTAAGAACGTCCAACCTTTTGACATTACACAGACTTGTCATAAAATTACGTAATTTTATCGTTTTTTGTTGGAACATTTGCATTGCAATCTTCTGGAAGTTGCGGCAGGTTGGGGACACTCTGGGGGGGGTGGGGGTTGTTTAAGACTAACGTCCCATGTCACAGTCATAGCTTTCTAACTTATCCCAGGAGACAAAGCATTTCAGCTTACTGGTGTAAACAGAAATTGAGGACAGCTAAGTAATTTGTCCCTTCTCCAAAAGACACTAACATTCATTATCTGATTACATATACAATTTGGTTGGTAACACACTAAAAACTACAGGAAATTAATGAGTTTATAGTAACAGCTGGGTTGAGATGGAAAAACATAGGAGGACAGATGGTCCAACTAAATATTTTAGGGAGAGAAAAATAGCTATGAACTTCTGAGTAAACCCTGAAATAAAACAAACAGAGATGGGTGGTAAAATTAAGAGGAGATACTTAAAGGAAACCATTCATGTAATAGGTAGAGAATAACTTATGGGACTAAGAATCTAAGAACAGTGGCTGAAAATCAAGTAAATGTTTAAGCTTAGATAATTTCAGCAGTTTAGATGAAATTCAGATATAAAGCATTTTCAGAGTTCAGTTTTCATTTTATAAAGACTGACATTAATACCCAGGAGTTATTAACATAAACATCCCATAAAACATCCCTTACAATGTTACCACGGGGTCCTGCATTGGAGAAAACACAGTCTTCAGCTAAGATTGACATCACTGTTCTTACAAAAGCAGAGTTCATTCTGAACTATGATTCTTTAGGGAATATTAGCATTAAAAATGCCCTCTCTGCTCACACTTACCTTCCCGTCTGTTTAAAAAATTGTTCTTCAAATTCTCTCAGGGCTTTCCGTAGCCTCTTCTTGTCAGCTCTAGTTTCTCGGAGATGGTCAAGAAGGACTGGCCTGCGTCAGTGAAACACATTTGCCATTAGTGAGTACTGGACTCAGTGAATTATCGTGACTGAACTATATCAGGTTGGCAAAATGGGGCTGAACAGAGGTTATGGAAGGATGTCCTGAGTAAGTGTGGCCCACGCTGTACATGTGGCCTATGTAGGAGCAACACATAAGCCTAGTGTTCCCTGACATGAACAGTGTCATGGACACAGAGAAAGGCAGTGTACCCAATCTGCTGTGAAAAACGGTGATAGTTACGGTGGTATAACAAGATGACAGGACAGAGCAGACATCTAAGGAACACACACCAATGTCCGTTGACAAAGTAAAGAGAAGAGACACAAGAGGGAAAAGATTGTGTCCTTAGAGTGTGGGGAGAAGGACAAAACCCTTGGGCATGCAACTGAACCAGGGGAGGGCTGACATCCTACTGCAGTCTACTTCGTGGTAGAATTTGTCCATGCTTTCAAAGGACTGAACACTGAAGTTATAAACAGACATTTTCTATAAGTCAAGTCTATCAATTTCAAAAATGCCCCCACCTGCCTAAATTTAGGAGTGACTTCCTTACAACTACCACTCAACGGCTGGAGAGAATGAGAGAGGGAAGGAAGATTATGTTCTGTTTTCCCAGCAAGCTAAAAACGGCTGTCCTCGGTTTTACCACATCTCCATTTGGGACACACACTAAGCAGACCATATAATGCATGTTAAAGAAGACCTCAGAGTGTGGGCTGTTCCATACAACCCAAAAAGGCCACATGATCCAAAGATATGCCAACTACTAAATAATGATAACAGTAATGGAAGTCCAGACAGCTCTTAACGGAGAGTCATTAGGAGACAAAAGGCCCACTCACTGACTGGTGGCCAAGGTTATTCTCCATCTGGAACACCATGTCATCTGAATGTGATAAAGACAAGAAAAGAAAGGCTCTGGCCACTGGTGACCCACTAAGGATCTTCCTCCTTTGGGTCCAATAGTCAAAGACTAGCTCACCTTTGACACTGCTAAGGGTTACGAGGTTTACTAGTGCCAGGATACACCTGAAAAGGAGGACCAAAGTCATCGCACATCAATACTTATGGCATATGTAGGGCTTTACTCTGGCTCTCCATGGCTTTTTCTTCTCTGTTTTCCAGTTAAGCCATTTTCAGGTCAATTCTCTGCTGGAGAGCACATTTTAGGCTCTGAACAAATGCTGAGTTTTGAATGTGCAGGTAAGGGACCCAAGCAAGGCGTTTTTGAGAGCCCACATTTGGGCTGCTCACTCACATGGTGGCCTCGTGTAAGTTGGACATGGAGAGAGCTGGTTGCTTCCCTTCTTTCTTTTCATCTGGTAGCAGGGTCCTCATAGGCTCTGTCTCAGAGTAGGTGAGGTGATCACCAACAGGAAGACGGGACACTGGATCTGGTAAAGAAGTTTGTTGGCTTCTCTGTGGACAGTCTTCATCAGAGTCCTCTTCCTCCTGCTTGTCGCAAGCAGAGTCAAACAGTCACAGAGGGCTAGATGTCTCTCGAGCATTTGAGAGGACTGCGAGAACATACAAACCAGTAGACAGACACCTGGCCCATATGGCTTCTGAGAACTGGAGTGGAAACTACCAAGAGCCCTTGCTCAGTTTCATTAAAAATCTGTGGAGCAAAGAGGTATCCACGCTGAGCTACAGTGCTTCTCAAGTTGATCTATCTTCACTGGGTCAAGGAAGACCGACAGGCCTTTGGGATATGGCCCAGGTTACACTGTATGGCCACGTGGGTCCTCCCTTCCCCCTGACCTGCACGACAGCTTCACAGCAGTAATACAGGTTAGGACAAGATGCACTCAAGACACCTGATTCAGAAATTGTCCCACTCAGACCTAGAGCAGGCCACAGTAAATACAGAGGATGTTGAGGATGTTCAAGGTCAGAGGGGCCCTTAGAAGGCCAAAGAAGCGTACTTCCTCCTTAAGCTTTCTGGTAATTCTAACAGCCAAAAGGTTTTCTTGAACTTGAAAGTCATATTCCCTTTAAACTGTTCTTCCTCCTCAAAGGGAACATTTTAGAATTTATCATTCTCCTAACATCCTTTAAAATACAGAATTATAAATATACTTAAGTAGATTTAAATTCAAATTTGTTAACATTTGCTGCTTCTCACCCTGGTATCTTGAGTAGCTGTTTTGAAATTGATGGAGAAGGATGTGTGGTGCTTCTGTCTGCCTATAAATTTATTTTGAAAAACAGCCTCACTCGGCTTCAGTACTTCTTTTTATTGAGATAAATTTGCTTATATCTAGTATAGTATGATTGGATGGAACCAAAACAAGGTTTCAATAGTTCAAAGAATTCACTACCATTTTATTAAGCACCACACAGAGAACGGAGAGGTTCTGTCTTGTCTAGCTGTGTTAAAAACTAAACAGTGCCGCACTGAAACTCATTGTGTTTTTCTCCTCACCCAAAAGGAGAGCAAAGAATCAAATTATGTCAAGAGTGGCATGTTCTATTTCACAGCAGTTCCTGTTAGGTCACTGTTAAGCACAGCACTGAGCTAGGGAAGACCACAGCAGCTGGCGGGATCAGAGTATGCACAGCTGGGAAGGCCATTTGTGGTAACATCATGGTGCTGACTATGACTTAGTGCCAAACGGCATAGATGCAAGGTGCCAATCAAGGCTTCTGGTTAGCGCAGCCATCTTTACTTACAATTGTTGGGATCAGGGACGGTGTTGACAAGATCTGCTTGATAATTCTGCATCGGTCATAAAGAGGCTTTATGAGGTTCTTGTCTTGCTTAGTTACCTGAAAAGCATGAAATTAATCTGTATTCTTTTCTCAGGCAATATTCTCCCTGCACCTACCATGTGCTGGAGGGCTGTCCCAGAACCTCCACTACTTATACAAGCACTCTACCACCGAGCTATGGTCTGTTCCCTACAGCAATATTCCAGCAAACACACACACACACACACACCCACACACACACACACACACACAAAATGTGTTGAAACCTCAGAGGATTGCTTTAATAGCAATGATAAAAAGGGTGTCACAAACAAACAAGATGGTATCTGTTGCAGATCCTTTTTACTAGGAAACTATTCCCATAAGGAATAGGGGTGAGTATAGAATATTGGACCATAAGGCTTTTGTGGACAAGTCTGCAAGTAGTGTTGAAGTGACTAATCAAGACCTATCACTTTTTCTTCTGAACATCTATGCTATTTGGACTTTGGTGATTACATTCACAAATACCAGCTATGTCCAAGCCTCCATTATTACACACAGAGAATGTATGCTGCCTTACTAGTTAGTTCTCATATCAACTTTAGTTGATTGAGATAAAACATTTGATTTTTGAGTCCTCAATTTCCTACCCACACAACAAAGGGGTTTTAGAGTTCCTTCCAGGCTGTCCAAAGCTATTTCAGTTGGCTCATCCAAGTTCCAACTAAAACAATGCCCAACCTCTTAGTATACTCATGCATTCTGTACCCATCTGCTGCAGGACTCATCCTTACACACCATTGTAGCAGGTCACGTTTCACATAAAAATTCAATGTCTCTCTTGTCTGCTTATCTACATATCTATCCAGAGTTACCAAACCCGTCTTCTTCCTAGTCCCCATGTATACACACACTGTCCCATACATTAATTTGCTATATGCCTGTTACAAACAGCTGCCCCTCCATTCTTAACCAATGGTTTATACTCATCAGGGCAGGGTACGGGAGGGAAAAATTCACCACAGTCACCCATGTGTCTTTTATGGAAGTACACACTGCAAGATGAATAGCTCTGCCTTCCAAATCTCCCAGAGACTCAAGACAAAAGAAAATAGCTGCCCAGCAACACTGATGATGTCATACCCATCACAGCTACAAGTCATACTGGTCCATGCTGATCTTCCTTTTTTATGAACCTTTCTATTTTACTACCTTGAACTTAACCTGTTTCAGTCTTACCTGCCCAAATAAAAGCTTACTGGGGCCTGAGATACCACTACATATTTCTTTCACTTCTCACCAGTATCTACCACATCCCTATCCTGATTGTTAGGTTCATAGGTAAAAAGAATTCTAATTTTTAGTAATCTCTCTCCCTCCACTCTCTGTGTATGATCTTTTTGGGGGGCGGGGTGTTCAAGACAGGGTTTCTCTGTATAACAGCCCTGGCTGTCCTAGACTCACTCTGTAGACCAGGCTGGCCTTGACCTCACAGAGCTCCACCTGTCTCCGCCTCCTGAGTGCTGGGATTAAAGGCGTGTTCCACCACTGCCTGGCTATACATTATGTAGCTATGTGAATGTATACACACACCCTAGGCTGTAACCTAAGACTCATTTGTATATATTTTCAGGAGAAAGAAAATTTGCTGTAGGAGCCTTTTAGTTTTGGTTCATAACTTTAAGGGCCTTTAATTTTCTAGCCAAATTCATTCTTTAAACATTTTTTTAAACATTTTTACACACACACACAGAGAGAGAGAGAGAGAAACACACAAATCCTGTCAATATGTAATCCATGGGATTTTACTACATTTTAAGAGGAAAAACATAAATGTAAGTTCAGAAAACATTAAAATAGTATTTCCCTTCAGTACCTCACTGGAACTTATATTCTATACAAAGCACTTACAAAACAACGTACTTAAGCATTGGTCTCTTTTGAAACTTGATTGTGGTTTTTCTACCTAATATATTTCCCCCATATTCTAGGAGAATCCTAAAAGGGGAAAAAAAGATCAGGACATCTGCCTCAATATTATGCCTTCTAGATATAACATGGAAGCTAGCCAGGCGGTGGTGGCACACGCCTTTAATCCCAGCACTCGGGAGGCAGAGCCAGGCAGATCTCTCTGAGTTCGAGGTCAGCCTGGGCTACCAAGTGAGTTCCAGGAAAGGCGCAAAGCTGCACAGAGAAACCCTGTCTCGAAAAACAAAACAAAACAAAAAACAACAACGAAAAAAGAAGTAACATGGAAGCCACACCAGTGAAATATCAGCAATATGGCTGCCTACACAAGACCTGAATGATGACGACACCAGTGGACATGCCGACATGGATGGGGAAACCTCACGTGGCTCCACCCCAAGACTGAACTACAGGCAATGAACAAATATTGAGAAAGGGAGAATCAGTTTTCCCCAGGAACGAGTCCCCTAACTGGCCCAGTGGTCAGCCCTAAAAACATGTAATATTAGCAACACGAAATGGGCTTGGCGTAGTGTGTGTGTGTGTGTGTGTGTGTGTGTGTGTGTGTGTGTGTGTGTGTGTGTGTGTGCATGCATTAAAGAAAAAGAGGCCATGAGTTTCAGAGGGAGCAGGAGTGAGACATCATGAGAACGGGAGGAGTTGGGGATGGGGGAGATGATGTGACTATTTTAATTAAAAGTCACATATGTTTTAATACACAAATGCAAAGAAACTAAAAAAACCATCAAGAATGAGAATGCTGCTTTGGAAAATGATTTTCCCCAGACACTAGATGAACACCGAAGTGCACATACAATCAGCTCGCATCCTCTTAACACTAATAATTTTACTCCCGGGGTTAAAACTGATTAATCCCCAAAGAGAGATGAGCATGTGATGCCGACCCACATGTGGGCCTCAGACAGAGAGAAATGTTGACAGCCCTTGATTCCTAAAACTAAAAAATAGTAGTTTCCCGTCCCTTCCTATCCAGAGAGGAAAATGTGAGTTTTACTTATGTCCTGGAGAGAAAGCTTGATTATGGGGATGAACGGAGGGAATGGTTATATTTATGAGTTCCTGTGCTCTTCTGAGAAAGAGGCCATGACAACCGTTCCAGGTGGAAAATAAAACAAACACATGGATAAATCTGCTGGAGTTACAGCAGCTTTTTCCTAAATAACCTTCTGACCAAGGCCAGAAAGACAACATCTGGGCTGGCCACTTTGTGGCAGTTTGGAATGTCAGCAGCTCTTGAGGATGCCAGGCCACACCTAAGAATGTTAGCCGCACAGGGAGGAAAGGACTTTTAGCATGGCGGAGAGAGCAAGCTGCCGACATCCTACCAAATTATGTTTTGTTGGAGTTCTCTCTTCCTTAACCTCCTCTTCCATTTGCTCCTCACACTACAACAGAAGAGTGAGGTAGGATAATCACCTTTGGGGTTTATCTGTGCGTACTGACCTGGAAGCTCTCTCCGGCTATTTTATGTAGACAATGGTAGCTATTAGTAAGCCATATATTACTCAGTGTGGGGTTCCCTTCGCACATAACAAAAATCAAAAGGTAACCATTTTTTTTTTTTTTTTTTTTTTTTTTTTAGTGCAGGTAGCCAGCAACATGCAGAAGTAGAAACAGAAAATGGTTTGTTTCCAGTGATTACCTCTTTAAAAATCCTAAATAAAGGGGGAAGATGGCTGAGTCACAATATCTGAACTAGCTAGGTCATGCTGTTTCCCAGCTTCAGGAAGTATGCACTCTGACTAAACACCAATGCAAGAAATTCCCTAAAAGTCTGGTGGAATCATTGCCATGGAAATTTTAACAGTTAATGTGGTTTAGGTGTATGGCAAGAAGGCCAGATGAAAGTCACCTATCCACTCCAGCTTTAAGAAGCTGCACTTAAGATGAACTGCCATGCCACGGGTTGTTGAGGAGGCAGGGAGCAGGCTAGATGCTATGATTCTGTGTCCTTTAGTTCTGCCGTGACCTCTAAATGCATTGGTGGTACCCACCCTATGACTCCCTATGGTTACACTTCTCTGGAGCAGTACTGGAATGTGGTATCAAAGCCTGCACATCCCACTACAGATGGCCCCTATCTAAAAGGCTCGGGCTCTACTGTAAAGCTCCCAGGTCTGTTTGAAGTGGCTTCTGACACTCAGCAAGCTGCTCAATAGATATTTAGCTTGAAATAATAGAATTTCTCCATTTATGCAAGGATGCCTTCTGAGCACTCGGGTCCTTGTCTACAGAGCCATTTCACTCGGTTGTCTCAGAAGGCCAACTGACCATCCCAGCTTGCCCAGGACCGAGGCCATTTCTCAGAGCATGGGTTTTCAGTGCTCAACCAATGAAAGCCCTGTGCAAACTGGGAGGGTTGGTTACCCAGCTCCTGAAAGATGTCCAATCTAAAGTGCTCCCACGTATGTTACCTCTTAACATTTCCATCTCCACTCCAAAATCTGCCTCCTCCCATAGTTCTGCTATGTCAGTAAGCTGACTGGTCTCCATGGATTCTTTCAGCTCTTTCTTCCCTCTAAGACAGTGGTTCTCAACCTGTGGGTCATGACCCATTGGGCAAACCTCCCTCTCCAAAAATATTTACATCACGACTCATAACAGTAGCAAAATTACAGTTATGAAGTAGCAACTAAAGTAATTCTATGGTCGGGGGTCACCATAACGTAAGGACCTATATTAAAGGTTTGAAGCATTAGGAAGGTTGAGACCCACTGTTCTAAGGCTTCAACATGTTCTCTCGTTCCAACTAAAATATGCTTTGAGGATGTTGTCTTGCTATTAACGTCACTCTATTGATCCAGCCGCCCATTCCACCTTCTCATTTGCCCTGTGATTTTTTTTCCCCACAGATTCATCGGATCTTTTAAATGTGTACTGTCTCCCGCCGGTTTTCTGTTATCACTTGGCCACCTCTTATTCCATTTCCCAGCCTACAAGGTCCAGTGTCATTCCACTGGACACAACTTTTCTGATTGTATCTCATGCCTCCCCATGTCTCGGCCCTCAGCCCTGAGATTCTTGTGTATACAAAAACAACAACAACAACAACCCGCCTCCTTCTTTCACAGCCTTGGTACTTGGGAGTTCTATCTAGAATGTTCTTTGCTGCTCTCTTCGGCCTGTTCACTTTCTTGATTAAATGTCAACTGTCTTTGTCCTTCTAATAACCCTATTCAAGAAACAAACTATTCCTATTGCTTTCTGTCATTCATTCATTCTTCTTCATTCCTTGTACAGTACTTAACCAAAATCCTTGTCTATTTAAATTGTTTTTTATATCCCAACTCCCAGTAGAAAGGCAGTCCAGGACAGCAGTCCTGACATAACTTCTCTATCTTAAGTTACCTGAACTCATAGAACAAGCATTTGAATCTTTTTGGAAATGTGTAACTGTCCATCAATCATCTACTGTCATGGATTGGATAGAAAGTGTCCCTCCAAAAAGCTCATGTGTTGTGTCTTGTTCCCAGCTGGTGACTCTACTGAGGGGTGACTGGATCATGAGGTTGCTGACCTCATCAATGGATTAATCCACTGACTGATTAATAGCTAGTCAGAGGATGTTGGTCAATCAATTATTGGGATGGTGATACTGACCAAGATATATATATAGATATGGACAAGATAACTATAAAATACAACAAAGTTCCTTGGAAATATAATGAATAAGGAATCCCAGATGTGCTTACATGTGCACGTGTACAAAGAACTTATCCACTGGCTATCATCAAAGTCTAGAATTGGGGGCCAGGGGTGGGGTGGGTGGCGTTGGGTAGGCTAGCCATATTGAAAAACAATATACCAGCCTGTGACCCAACCATTACTGACTGACCTCCCTTCATGACTCAGAACACACTGGTTCTTTTTCAAATGTAAAGGTAAAAAGATGATGGAGAAGACTCTGGTCCCATGTGTACTTGCAGAACACAAGTCCCAGAGTAAAAAACTAAGATGGGACATATAGGCCTTCTGAGATCTGTATGACAGAATAGGTAAAGTGATCATACTTCTCAAGAAAACTTCACTCCAGATTCAAATGTCATTCATGTGTTCATTCGGACACTCAACAAATGTACACTCGGTACCTATTATGTATAGATGTTGCAATGCTATGCACAATAGTCTTGCTGTGCAGGAAATGTGATGGGTTGAGGCAGAAAATGATATAAGGTACTTAGCGAGGTGACAAGGTGACCACTCTTACACAGGAAGTAAAAGGTCAACCACATGAGCCTCAGCTTTGATATGGAAGGGACTCAAGAAAGCTCCCTGGGTCTAAGTGAAATGGAAACACAGATAAGCAACGTGAGGGGGGATTACCGAGGTAAGTGCTGCTTTTCTTTATAAAATGCAATAAATCTCTTTGGCTAAGCCCCGGACTTCTGTATCCTAATACCCAGCTGACAACTCTATCCAGCTGTCTCCGACTTCAAAACTAAGATGTCTAAAGCTGAAATCTTTAGTCCTGACCTATCACTCCCTAGAAATCACAGCTCTGTTCTTAGGACATAAAACCCTTACTTTATGCCTCTCTTCTTTATCAAACTTCAACATATGGGGAAGGGGCCTATACTGGAGCTTTGCTCTACTGGGAATATAATTATACCCTAGACTTCCAGGTTTTTTTACTCGTTTGGTGGAGCACAGAATGCATCCCCCCATCTTTGGCACCTCCCACCAGCACACACCCTCCTCCAGAAGAGGCACATCCTCAACTCACACAGTAACACTCCTAGGTCACAGCCATGACCCCCCCCCCCCCCCCGCCCCCCAGCAACGCAACAGGTTCAAGTGCTGGAGGCAGTCTCCTAAAGATGTGACAGTGGTGGCCAAGTGCTCTGACAGTCGGTCAGAAGCATGCCCTTGCCACCCCGTGCTGATGCGGTGAGGTACCTTCACATCGTCCTGGGGAGGAACCTGTTCTCTCCTCTCCATCATCACCGCGTCTGAAGTCTCCTCTCCAGAGGAGCTTGGCTCGGGCCCCACAGCTTCCAACTTGCCATTTTCTCTGGGCCCTGGAGGCTGTTCACAGGACGGGTTTCTCCCAGGGCCTTTGGGAGTGCCCCCTTGCTCTTCCGACAGCTTGAGCTTCAGTTCTAAGAGAAATGCCTTGAGTTACCACAAGCAGGAGGGACTCAAACAGAGCTTCTCAGGAATTCCCTTCCCCAGGAAGGCAGCGCTAGAGAAGGCTTCCAGCTGGCAACCATCAGTCTTAACCACGAGCAGTATCATAAGCCCTTGATTGGCCATGCAAACATAGCCCTAGAGGCTGGGCTCTCCTGGGGAAGGACCACATGAGATAAGAACTCAGGTTTGGACTGCAGCAGGCTTCTGGAGGAAGACCTAGCTCCCCACCCCCCACCCCGGGTTTCCACCAGTGCGCACGGAAGCACTTAAAATTCTGTGTGCGGCAGTTTGTTGGCGTGCATGGTAAAAGCTGTGTATGTAGTAAGGCTCCCGGAAGTACAGGTGATTATATTAGGCATTATATATGCATATATATGCATTATGCAATATATATATATATTATATGAGGAAACAGGGGAGATGAGAGGGGCATTGGGAATTCCAGCCCCAACTTGACACATTGCACATTCTTATGCTTTTTACCCAAAGATTTAGTGTGTGTGTGTGTATGTCTGTGTGTGTGTGTGTGTGTGTGTGTGTGTGTGTGTTTTCTGTGAGTGCTCATGGAGGCCAGAAGAAGAAAATGATGATGATGATGATGTGTGTGTGTGTGTGTGTGTGTGTGTGTGTATGTGTGTTCTGCAAGTT